GCCTCAGGTGGTACTGTGAGACTAGGAGGTAGCGATTGGCCGCAAAGAGGATGGGGCAACGGAGAAACGACTGCACATCCTTTGGTACTAACGAGCAGCCTCGTATGCCTCCTCCACGGAAGAGAATGACCGCCTCCATAACTCCAAGCGGTAGTCAGTCGGAAGAATGACGAGGAATCGGTCGGTGATGGTGACCTCCGGTAGGAACATCTCATCACAAACAAGGCGGGCGTCAAAAAACACCCGGATGTGACGCTCGAGGTCAGCCGGTGCAGAGGACCTGGATCATCGGGTCTGGGTGACGCGGTCTAAGGCGTCAGTGGCGTCGTGACGAGCGCCAAAGTGGTCCTGAAGGAAGGCCGCAAAGTTTGCAAGAGTGGGAACCTCACCCACGAGGAGGCGTTGGGCATAATGGTCTTCCCGCGCAGTGGAAGGGCTGCCTCACAATTTGGTTGCTAGCACATCGCACCACAACTCCTAACCGGTGGTCATTGGAGAGAGTGTGCGTGTTGCTATCTGCAACCAGCGAGAGACGCGAGGTGTGCCATCATACTCGGGAATGTCCGAGGCGTGTATAGGAGGGTGTCCCTTATGATGATGGCGGGGGGAGAGAGACCGAGGCGCCTGCAATGTCACGACGAAAGTCGGGGTCGAGGCAGGGGTAGAGGTGGGGGAAGGTTGTGGGCCATGGTCGCAGGCGGATGGACCAATAGATGTGGAGGCAACGACTGAGGGCAGCTGTCCAGGAATGGCTAGGTAGGAGGGGAGAGGCTGAGGAGCAGGTCGAGGGAAATGAGCCTGCATGATGGGGGCCGAAGGGGTGGTGGAGGAAGAAGAAGGATGAGCAGCCTGTGAGGGGTGAGGCTGTCTCAGGGCTAGGATCTCTGCCTGAGCCTGCACGATGGTGGCTCGTAAAGTGACCACTCGCTAGGTGAGCGGGGTCGGGGGTGGAGGAGGCAGAGGGAGTATCTCAGCAGGAGGAGGAATCCCAGGCTGGGGGGTGCCCTGCTGTGGGGGTAAGGGGACGAAGGCGGGGAGAAGTGGGCGGACCGTAATGACGCAACCGGTGTGGGAAGCTAGGAAGCAGCACCGGGATGGGTCGATGAAACTGTCGGGCCTGATGATGGTATCTGGACTGCAACACCTACGACAACGGCAGAGACGGTAGGGGTGTCGGAGACTGAAAGAGGTGCCGCAACAGACGGGGTGGGCTAAGGAGCAGCGGTACTCACCACTGCTGAGGGGGAGTGTTGGTCCTGAGGTGCAAAAGAGGAAGATCCACCTCGTCTGTGTCGCTGGAGTCATGGAGAACCGGTCGGTGAGCCGGTAGGGGATGGAGTATGAGAATGGAGGGGGGTGCGATGGGGAGAGCCCTTGAGGCGGTGGACGTCAAGGGCAAGCGCAGCGCATTGATTTGCACTTGCGGTGGTCCAAGCGTACTGAGTTGCACTTGTATGGCCACAAGGACGACATGGATGTCCATGGTGTCCACATGGGCCTGACCCTCAGCCGTCGGTTGAACGCTCACCTGGGAGGTGGACGGCGCTGCGGCGATCTCCCAACGGTGTATTCGCGTCCATGTGCGGTGGATGGATGCGAGTAGACATGGCGGGAGGTGGAGAAGGAGGTGGGGAAAGAGATGGGCTCGTGTGTGGAGAAAGAGGCCCACCAGTGAGAGGGAGGGAACCGCGGGAGCGGAATGCGTAGTCGTGAGTTGGTGCGCTTCGTGACCAGCAGGTCGCACGTGAGAGGGTGCCCCGAAGCCGGTCGAGGGGAGAGGATCTGTTCGGGTCTAGGGTGCGTGACAGGACGAGGCGGGAGAGGAGGGGGGCTAGGAGAACCCCAAGCCCTAGAAAAACCCTAAAAAAACCCTAACAGAAGTTTGGAGGGTTAGGGGAGAGTAGCTGCGACCTAATCAAAAAAAGAAAATAACCACCATGGAAGGGAGGGGGAAAGGGAAATAAATAAATAAATACTAAATAGTGAGTTTTCGAGATTAAAAATAATAACAATAATAATAATAAAAATAAATAAAGAAAGAAGTAAGCAAAAGGTGAGGAGATGAATAATATTTTTTTTGTTGAAATTTTCGGCAATATTCCCCTACCCCCCATGGGGTCAAAAATGTGCCAAGAGGAAGGAGAGACTAAGAGAAGTACACAAAATTTTACAATGCCGCAAATTAAAATTTTCAAAAAAAGAAATAAAGAAATAAAGAAAATAGGAGGTGGAGGAGAGTGAAGAGAAAAGTAAGTTTTGAAATTTTCAAAAATTTTGGCAACATTTCGGTACGTCCAAGGGGTCAAAACGGGCACCGAAAGCAAGAATAACTGAGTCACTGAGTCCTAACAATATATAGAGATGCCGCAAAAAAAATCAATTAAAAATTAAAAAATAAAAAAAAAAAAATCAGAAAAACGAGAAAAGAAGTAGAGGATAAGATAATTTAAACTTTTGGAGAAAAAGAGAAAATTTAAATGAAGGAGAAAGACAAAACATGAAAAACAGAAAAATTCGAAGTTGGGGGGGGGGGGGGCAGGAATGAAAAAGTGATGAAGAAAGGGAGAAAAAGTTGAGAAAGAGAAGAAGAATGAAGTGGGAAATGGGGGGGATGATGGGGTTGTAGTTGGGGGAGGGAAGGGGGAGAGGAGGGTGAGAGAATGGGAGAGAAAGGGATGAGAAAGGTGGAGAGGAGTAAAAGAGATTAGTCGAAGATGGTGAGTGGGGGGAGAGGAGAAAAAAAAATGATAGAAGATGAGTGAAGAGGGAGGTAGGAGGAGGGACTAGTGGTAGAGTTAGAAAAGAAGATGAGATGGTGTAGGGGAGAGAGAGAGAGGGGGGGGTAGGAGAGTAGTTTAGTGAAAAAGAGGTTATACCAGGCTCTTGGTTGGCCAAGAGCAACAAGATCACCAAGATCCACTGGATCTTGGCCTTCAAGGTGCTGGCAGTCTGCTGCTGCCGCAAAAATAATTTAGGCTTGGCTAAGATCTTGATCAGCCACCCTGATTGCACTGACGCGCAGCCCCCTAGCCAGGGGGGTCTTCACTGCTGCCAAACTGCCGCTGTAGCAGCAGAAAAAGTAATCATTATCATCATCATCATCATCATCATCATCATCATCTGGGTGTGCTGAGATCTTGATCAGCCACCCAGGTCTCACTGTAGTGCAGCCCCTAGCCAGGGGGGTCTTCAAGTTCTTCAGCGCGCTGCCTCAGGGCACTGCAGATGGTCACGTGTTCCGACAGCAGCAGCCACGACCCCACCAGGGGGGGGGGACACAAACAGTAGCCCACTCGCTGCTGCCGTGTCAGTCACTGCTCGCCACTCGCCGACGGGTGGTGGTAAATAGCTGGTGTGGCACTCTTCAACACCAACGTGCCACACTACTAGAGCATTTGTAGAGTTTGGCCAGTGCGTTAAAGCGCGGGCTACGCATGCGCATGGCCAACAACTACCCAGGTTCAAATTGTGGCAGTTGCACTCCCGGATATTGATATAATTTAATCCGGGAGTGGGGTGGGGCGGGGTGGGGCGGCGTGGGCACGTGGCGCATGTGCGTGCGCGGGCCTTGGCCTTGGTGCTTCGCCACGTGTCACTGCCTGGGGCGCTGCGCTGCTGCACCTTTTGCCGCACCTGTGCGCTCCAAAACACCCCAAATCCCGCTACCCGCCCGTTGGTGGGGGTGGGGGTGGGGGGGGGGCGCTGTCAGTGCGGGGGGCCGGTGGGATGGTTCCCGCTGTGATGCCAGTGTGGCACACCCGCCGGGATGGCGGTCTGTCAGGATGAAGATGAAGGGGTGAGGATGACGAAGATGGAGATGGAGCTGGAACGGACAGTGCAGCTCCGACGCAGACTCAACATGCACGTACTCCAAAGTGTGCAAAAATGAAGAATGAACTGAAACAGGCTGCAGCTGGGGTATACCCCCAGCAGACTGACTAGACTGGACTGGACTGGCCTGGTACCGACAGTGGTACCGGGCGGGACTGGACTGGACTGAGTGAGCACACGGCCTGTGAGGTCCACAGGCCGAACAGGCAAAATAGCCTGATAGGCCCTGGCTGCAGGCCAGGGAAGATAGAGGCCCGCTGCATTCACCTATGGTGATCGCCCCCTTACAAGCCGTCCTCTACTCTCCCTTCACCACGGGGGTGAAGGTAGGTCTTCACCACCATGCTGTGCTCTCTCTCTGTCTACTACAGTCTCTAACATCATCCTCAACCCCGGTGTGGGATCAATCTCTAACCTCTCTCACCTTCATCACCTTAACTTCCATAGCTAAGGAGGTCACCCCCTTACAAGCCGTCCGCTACTCTCCCTCAATGTGGGAAGCGCAATGCCCGCCAGAGCAGGCAGCAAATGTCATGTAATGAACTGCTCGATGCCTCATCTTTTGAAGAAGAGATGGACTGGTAGGTTCAGCTGCCAACCTCCTTGCCTCCTGGAGTCCCTCGGACCTGCCCGGCTTTTCCCTAGATGGTACCGGATGTGCAAAGAGGTGGGAAACGTGTCAGCTACCTGCAGTCTGTCATCCTACCCCAGGAGCGGATGTGTATTAAGAATATCTAGGCTGGGTATGTTTGTGACGGTGCCGATGGCCAGGCCTTACCCCGGCACAGAGATATGACCATCGCTTCAATCGTGATGAAGAAAGGTACACACTTTCAGCATGGCCAAACCCCCAAAACAACCAAGCAAGTTATCTGTGGGAGCCTACTATTGATGTTTTCAAAAAAAAAAAAAAAAAACAAAAAAAAAAAAAAAAAAAGAAGCAAGATCAAAGATCTCAGTGGAAGCTCAGCAAAAAACTCGGGCTCGCAGGACAAAACACCACCGAAACACAGAGCAAATGAATTATGGCCCTTTTCATTGGTAAACAAAATTGCACCTACCTGTCCTAGCGTCCTGCAGAAACCCCACCCTTTCTCCTACTCACCACTTCTTTTCTCCAGCCTCTGCTTCTCCGCGTTTTCCGTCTCTTCTCCAGCCCGATGCTCCGTCTGTTTTTGGATGACAAGTTTGAAAATTTTGAACTTTATCATGGCACCTTGCCAACTGCAGGCTCTGATATGGACCAAGTCTTGGCATTGATGACGAAGCTTTCGGAGGAAGTCGCTGTGCAGCAAAACCAGGCAAAGCGAATCAACAAGTACCAGCAGCTCTTCCAGGTCAGATCAGCAAAATGCATATTCCTACCTCCAAAATACGGTTGATACAACGTATAGCCTTTTGCACCTCTTTGAGAACTTGTTTATACTTTCTTGCGTGTGTGCGCTGTGAGTGGGCAAGAGGCCAAACAAAAGCGCGGCTTGCCAGCAGAGTGGGCCACCAAAGTAGCGTTGAACTACCGACAATTTAACTGGAAGAGCTCATCTTCCTCCCTCCTCGCCCTCGTTTCCTTTCAAAAAAAATTATATGTTTATTTGTACACCCCCAATGGTTAATGGGAATTTAGTGCGTGTGCCTTTGACTCAGGCCTTCTCATCGTTCTCGAGGTCTTCTCTCAGGCAAGGCGCTTCTCAAATGGTCCTCTCTGGCACAAAGTCCACTTCGTAAGGGGTGCACCCAAGGTAAGGTTCCAGGGAACAAAAGTAGTCAAATAGCTGGGGCTGGACCCCATTACAAGGCCCATTTTTATGGTGTCTGCTGGTCTGGATTGGGGGGATTATGGGGATATCCTCGCTTCAGAAAAAGGGAGCTGTTACTCTCGCGGATGCATGATTTCCAGTATCTGCCTATTGGCCTCCCGTGTACATGCTCTCATGTATCATCACCTCATGGTTTGACCGAGCTCATCACCTTGCGGTTTGACCGAGTTCATCACCAGCCATCGATGCACACATCCATCTATCCATCCAACCATCCATCCATAGATCCATAGTCTTTGTCGGGAATTGAGCGAGTAACCCACCATCCATCCATTCATCCATCCATCTATCTGTCAATCGAAGCACCCACCTGTCCATCCACCCACCTATCCACCCACCCACCCAGACATGCATCTATCCATTCATGCCATCTATCCGTCCATCCATCCATAGTCACGTTTCATCCTTCCCTCATGGAGACGGAAGCTGGTGCGTGTTGCGTGCTTGGAGCATTTTTCATTACTCTCCACCCCTTGTCTGTGAGGTGACCGACTGTGGAATCGAGCATGGTGGCGACGAAAGCGACAGCAGATCAGATTACAAAGGGGGCATTCATCCATGCATCCATCCATCCAGACATCCATCCTTTGGTTCGTTTGTCTATCCATTGATCCATTCAGCCAGACAACCAACCAACCAGTTGGTTGCTCCAATACAGCAATTCAGAGGCTCATCACTTGAGCAGAGGTAGTGGAAGGGGTGATGGTTGCACTCTGTGTGATGCTATCTTGCAAATATATATTCTCTGTGATAGTAAATCCTAATACGTCTTTCAACATTGGGATGTGTAACCCAGTTTGGCCGAGCTTATTTTGTCCAACCTCTTGGTACATCAACCCGGGACATCCCAAACCTCATTGCAGGCTGCTGGTCGCCAAAAAAAATGGTGGCGCCAGATCCAACCATCATGGTCAGGGTCCAGCGGCCGTGGGCTGGTGTCACCGCTGTTTTTTCTCAAGAGGCTGCCAGCCCTCTGCTGACCCTGCGCACAACCTCCAATTGCAAAAGCGGCAGAGTCGTACTGTGTCGCTAAGCCCACGGTGGGCTGATGGTTTAACTGCCCAGACGGTTTCAGACTGACACTGGGGCCAATGAATGGCAGCAGTGAGAGCCAGCATGAGATAATGCTCCCCCCAAGAGAACAAAGCTGTGCTGCCTGGTTAACTTTATATGCGGAGACTCGAGAGCAGTCTTTCCAACACTTTCAGCAATTGTGATTCATACATGCTTGCCATATGCCGATGTCCATTGATTGCAAGTTTCCAGTCATTGGACGGTCATCTGCCGTTTCTTTCCAAGATCTGATGGATCACAGACTTTAGTCATCTGACTCATCTTCTTGTGTTTAGAGTCTTCCTACAGTTCAGTACCTTTGCTTTTTTTTTTTCTTTAAAAAAAACAAGCTATACTCTTCTCTCCAATATACCTCACACTACCTATATCTATCTATGTCCAGTTGCTGGGCCTACGGAATGCTTTCCCCCCCCATCTATCCTAGCCTACCTGTCCCGTCAGGGTTGAGCCTACCCCTAAGCCCTAGCACGGGTGGGAAGGGGCGAACCTTTTCCCCTTACGAAGTCCAGGGGGGGCGAACCGTCTATCTCAGGTGGCGAGCCAGAGGTGCGCTGCAGGAGGTCGTGGGGGGCCAAATGGATACTTCAATAACCAAGAATGGAATACATAGAAGAAGATGATGTGAGTTTTATTATCATGGCGTCACCAACTCCTCCTCGCCTACTCAACCCTTCTACTCGTACGCCACTCAGGTGGTGAGCCAGATGTGAGTTTTACTATCATGGCGTCACCAACTCCTTTTTTTTATATATATTTTTTTCTTTTTTTTTTTTTTTGCACAAACAACTCGAGTGGATGCTAGGGGTGCTGGTAGGAGTAGACACCACTAGCACTTCCCGGGAGGCTTCATCTATTGGTGGGGAGCATCACCTGCTGGAAAACGGGTCCAGCGTCCCTGAACATTAAGATTGTTTGTTTAGACTTTGAACAGACATGCAGTTGTGATGGCAGTCAGCCAGAGGGCTCATCTGCGAAAGTGAGATTCGGCAGGCACCACTACTCAGTAGCCTGAGCTGCTTATCTACATGACGACCTACGTCAAGCCTACCACCATACATACACTACATTGCCCGTTGAGAACCCATCACAGTTCTTGTAGTTCATACATTTGTTTTCTGCGGCTGTGGCCTACCCTGAGTACCAGAATCACCCGCTGTCGTATTCGGGGCTCACCTCCCTCACGTATACTTGACCAGGCCAATTCCTGGTATCCACAGCCCCCTATTCGGCGATGTTATGTCTGTCCCCTCAAAACCACCCTAAACCCTTATGCCTTCTGCTCCTCACATCCAGAATCGGTCACTGTCGTAAGCCCTCCCTAAGCCCTTAAACCTTCTGCTCTCTGCTACAGGTTAGCTCATAGCGCCGTGGCGCCTACTGTGCTCGGGGAGGGCTATTCCCATCAGTCATTGTGTAGACTGAGTGCTAGACCCAGTGTGTTGCCTTATTGTTGTTTGATCTGTAGTTCCATGTCTTGGTGTGTTCCTACCTACCCTGCTGGGCAACTCCTGAGTCTTTGGATGTGCTTAGGGTGTCGTGTAAAGATGTAACTTACTGTGCATTGTGCTCATCCGGACAGGGACAACACTGTTGTCTCAGTCCGATGCGGTGGTGCTGTATACAAGGCTGCAGTTTACTGTACATTGAGCCATTCTATCTTTTCTTGTAGCCTACTGTACATCGTGCCTTTTCAATCGTGTCTTTGTGCTTCTACCACAGTAGTCTTGTGAGTACCATGTGGCTCACTCTATCTTACTGTGTACAGCATTCCATAGGTTCCTTCCCTGACTTGAGTATTGTTGCCTCTGCAGTCTATCTTGAATTGGGCCCCTTTCCCTTCCTTTCGGATGCTGAATGCCATTGTCACTGAAGCAGGGTTGAAACCCGGTGCGTCCACAGCAGTTGTTGTCGTTCAGAAGTTCCCATTGCTCTCCGGCTGGTGACATCAATTTGCCTGGCCAGGACTTTTGATTTGCTATTCCAGGTGGAGAGAGGAGAAAAGGGAGCAAGGGAGGAGGTGTAGGGGCACCAACTCCTCCTGACTGTGGGGGGCCAAATGGATGCCGTGGGCAATCGACCCCACAACCTCCTGAATACCACTTGCGTGCTCAACCAACTGAGCTAGGCGTTTGGGCAATGTTCAGTACCTTTGCTGTTGTTTGCATGCCATGTGAACCTTGTGATAACGCCAAGCGATTTTTTCCCCTCATGCTTGTGTTGTGTATGTTTTCATTTCTGGATTTTTCTGCATGCTACTTGCGGATGTTCCCGGGTTTTCATTGCGCACTGTGCAGGTTACCGAAAGTCGGTACGATGACCTTTATGTGGTAGTCGATGAAATTGAGCTCAAACGCGCAATGTGGTCGGGCCTGAAGGTTTGGCTGGAAAAGACAACCGAATGGCGGCAGATGCATTTTGAGCAGATCAATGCGGAAGAGATGGAGGAGTTTCTGCAGAAGTACGAACAACGACTTTAAAGTTTCAAGTTTGAGCCCTTACTGCTCCCCCTTATCAAGGACTTCTTTACCTTGTTTGACTTTGAACTTCCGTTTTGACGTTGCAGCATGATTGCCAGTGATAAGCAACTGGACTGTCGCCCCCCAGAACCGATGGGCCAGTCTGTGGTTGTGTTTTTTTCTAAGGAAAAGGAGGGTAAGTGCGGTTCAGTCAAAAACGAGTTTCAAATCCGCAAAGAAAACATGCACCGGCGAAAAAAAAAAACAGAAGTCGAGTTGGAAAACGTAATATAAGTGGTGCGACACTTTGTAATAGGTGTCGATGTCATAACAAACTACAGGGGCGGGCCGTGGTGTGCAGCGCGCCTGAGTTCAATCGAAAAAGGGAAAAAAAAAAAAAATCCTCTATTTTTGACTGAGATCAGTGAGATGCACATTTCTAACTCACGCCATGACCAAAGTGCCATTTAGTGTTTTTTTTCCACCTTTTTGAACTCAAAACCTGAAACACACACAAAAAAAGAAAAAGAAAGCCTCCCCCTCCTTTCCTGCTTGACTGACTTATTGAAGAGGTCCAGGGAGCGAAGAGCTTTATGTGCTGCCTGCCTCGATGTCGTTGATGATATGACAATAGTCACAATACCAAAAGAAACATCCAAGTGGCAGAACTCTCCATCCCGGATGGGACCATGAATGATATTGATTTATTTATTTATTTATTTATTTTTAATGAAATTTGATGAGCTTCACCACCCAGCCCATGTGGCTGAGTGGTACACATATGTGACTCTTAATAAACAGATCATGAGTTCAAATCTTTGTGGATGAATCAGATGGATACAATATTGCGAGGATCTGGGTCCTCGGCAGGCCTAAGAGGCCCCTGCTACAGATATGCCCGCCCTAAGTGAAGGCGGGCCTAACAAAATCACGAGAGGCCCTCTGCTGTCAATTTCGTATTTGGGGTCCAGACAGTTGTGATGCGCCAGTTGGTTGAGGGAAAACACAGGCCGAGCAGCAAATCCATTCCAAGGCCTTCCAGGCCTTTCCGAAAATGCAGGCCCTGGGCAAGAATCGCAGCCTCATACACAGACAGTTGGACAGGCCCAACCGAACGAGGTCCAGCAGCTGCAACGGAGGCACAGCCTCCTGGGGCCTACTGGAAGCTTCTGGGCAGAGGCCCAGGCCAGCCAGGCCTCCGAGGGAGGCAGGCTCTTTCCATATAGGAAAGAGCTCGCTGACGAGGCACTCATTCAGGCACTTGCAAAGTGATGTGGCAGCACTGCCGGAGCGATTGCTCGCGGGCTGCTGAGCGCTAAGGGCAAGGTGCTGCGCGCGTGCGGTCGTGCGGGAAGCAGGGCGCTGCTGAGGGCAGCGCCATAGCTCAGCCTCCGTAGCTGGATGGGCTTGGACTACAGTGAGGCGCAGGAGTGGTCTTCCGGTGTACAGGGAGAAGACGTGGGTGTAAGTCAGGGGAGAGAGAGAAGGATGCTGATGATGACGATGTGAGGGCACATACCTGGTATTGGCGATGGTCTGCATCGGGCGACATCTTCAAGTACTTCGTTGGCCGCTGACGTCAACAGTTGCATTGTCAATTAGTAGGCAGACAGTAGCTGTGTAGGAAGTAGGCTGGGCGCCGAGCGCCAAGTAGGGAGAAAAGATATTGTCATCTCGCTGTTGCTCATTTTCCTTGCAATTTGGTATCAGAGCTGGTTCTAACTGTGCTTCATTGGTTCTTCACAATAACTGTTTGGTGCTTCACACGAGGTGTGGGGCAGTAATAAGACTTGGGCGTTGAACGATTGGCGGCCCAGGGTCGTGTGGGCGCGCCAGGAAGCTATGTGGTGACATCAGGGGTGTACGCTGGATGATGAGAGCTCGCTGATGTGGCATTTAAGCCGAGGTGGAACTGCCGCTGTTGGTTGTGCCGAGGCAAAGACCAGTCATCATAAATGCACGTCAGGTTGCCAATGAGAAATCTGTGGTTGGGGGCAGCATTATGAGGTATGTTGCTCTGTTCCTTATCTACCCTCTCCATTACTGCTTACCGTGAGGAAGTGAGTTCTGTCTTGAGAGTCCTCTCAATGTGAGGTGTCGCAAGCGCTCAACCTTGAGAGTCGACATTCTTCCTGGGCAGCAAGCTGGTGGGAGATGGGCGAAGCCTTTGAAGGGCCCTGGACAAAGCACTCGGGTCACGGTCACCATGCCAACCCGCTGGGACTAGTACACGCATGTTTTGCCGCAAGTCATTGGTTCTGCTGCTGCGCAATAGAGGTCATGTAGGGCATGCCATCCCTTTGAGAGACGCTCACCAGACCGTCTATAAATATTTCTGGCGGGATTCGGTGTTGAACCCTGGCTGTGATTGTCGTCTTGTCTGCGACGTTAAATAATTCCTGAGGACCTTGGGGGCTGTCCTTAAACTGCCTCCTGATCAGCCAGATCAAACCAGATGTAAGGCTCGTTGCATGCGAGGATAAACAACGTGCAGGGGCTGGCAGGTTCGGCATAGACTTGGGGCACAGGGATGGGCTGGATTGCACACCTTCAGACACGCCGCTCAACGAGATGCTCAGGGCGTTGACATAAAGTGACCACTCAAGAAGGATACAGGGAGAGGGGGGATTCCGGGAACTGTTCGCTGTGGCATTAATTTAGACAAACTGCCATTCAGCATACATCTCCACAGGTAAATTGTTTTGTTTTTGATTATTTTTGTACGAACTTGTTGACAACTGACAGACAGCTGCAGATAGGTTAGAATATTCCTTGTTGCATTGCAATCTGTATTAGAATAATCTAAAAATAGAACTAGTGTTACCTGTAGGATCTGACATTAGTTATTATTGACCACTTAACTGTTTCTTTCCAGGCTACCCGAAAGTAGTTGTATATCATACTCGGTTGGGTGTCACGCCGAGGTAGGATTCAGTGTGGATTCTAGTTTAGATCACACACACCCTAGCTCATGAGTGATGCAAGCAGTAGTGAGGAGGAGGTACGATTAGTGGAACCCCTTAGAGTTACATGTAGAACTGCTCTCAGTCGACCGATCACTTTCCAAGAGTTACCTCCAGGAGAGGAAAGGGGGGTGCGGAGGGAGGCTAGGGAGAGGGCGACATTAAGGAGGGTTAGGTCAGCAGCAACCAACTTAGAGACCGCGATGGCTATCGCCTCCAGTACGTCACAAGCCTCGTCCCAGGCTACTTCGTTAGGAGTCAGTCGGAGTGTCTCTCAGGTATCCGTTAGTCAGGCTGTTGGCTTGCAAGTCAGCCAACAGACTCAACTTACGCCGGAGGATTATGAGATCTTCCAAGCAGAAGAACTTCATGATGAGCTGCAGCGACAGTTGAGAGAGGCAGCAGAGAGGACACTGAGAGTTATATTCAGAAAAGCTAGACTAGGGAGTAGGAGACAGGAGCTAAGCAAATTAGAAGCATTAGAGGAGTCAACACTGGACCCTGCTACGCAAGCACTGTGTAACTCGCTCCTTTGCGTGGCCGAAACACAGGTTGTTCAGCAGGAAGTGCTGGCTGAACTAGTGGAAGGCCAAAGGCAAATTCTGGTTGCACTGCAGGTCCCTCATCCAATGATGAGGCAGCCTCAGTATGTTGTAGCTCCCCCTTCGGTTGCGGGTCCCTCAGTGACGCTGTCGCCGGCAGGGCCCTCTTTCTCTCCTATGTTTGGCATGCCCCCTACAGGTGGTTTAGTAGCAACTAGTGGTCCGGTCCTTAGAGCTTCTTCAATACCATTAACGATGGTGGCAGCTACAGTGCCATTGTCAAGTCAGGCGCAGGTTAACACGCAGCAACCTGTCTCAGTGGCTATGCAGCCACTAAAGCAATCACCTGGGCAGATCCTACCCATGTAGTGGATGCCCAAGATTCCCTTGCCGAGTCCTAAGCCCTTCTCTGGCAACAAGAAGAAGGACGAGGACCTGGACACCTGGGTGAGAACTGTGCCTACCTATGTGAGGCACAAGCTCACAAGACCAGAGCAGGAAGTTATAGTTGCTGCCTCCTTTTTAGAGGGATCGGCAACACGATGGTTAAACGGTTAGTGTAGCGACAGGGCTATGGTCAGAACTTCAATGTCTGGGCTCAGGCTCAGACATTGGAAGACTTCGTACGGACTGTGTACAACAGGTGGCATGACCCTCAAGGGGGTCAAAAGGCCACTGACACGAACAACAATCTCTGTGCCAAAAGGTACAGTACGGTATGCAAGGTCACATATGTCGTAGAACGTCTGATCGTAGTACCTGGTGTGCGTTATCACCCGCATGTACTCCTCATAGACTATTTGAGATGTCTGCCTGCAGATGTCAAGAGTAAGCTGGTGGACGAGGCCTACATCGATCAACATAACTTTGCCTCATTCAACAAGAAGGCCTTAGACATAGAGGCTAAGCTTGGGTCTGCGCATCAGGGTTAGACAGATGGTAGGAAGAAGAGACTGCCACAAGATTGGAAGAAGAAAGGTCAACTTATGTTTGTCGACCATGATGGTCAGGCAACTGAGATTGATGACTTCCTAGACTTAGGAGATGAGACAGAGCAGGACGGGGCCAGCGAAACTTCGGATGGGAGAGTCGTGGCGCCCATCAAAAAGAAGGCTAGGGGGACCGGGAAGCAGAAGGTAGGTCGGTCCAAGGGTCAAGGCGACTAAGGAACACCCACCTAGGTAAAACTTGGTTTAGATTATGAGGTGTGGCGAGACCGAGTTGCTAGGGGCACGTGTATGAACTGTGGCAACTATGGCCACACTTCTTGGACATGCCGAGGCAAAAAGGTCGCCACGAAGGTAGCCTCTCCAACAATGGTGGGCTTATCTTTGAACCCTGGCAGTGTGTCTGCGAGCACTTCGCAGGGAAACACCTCGGGCCGATAGGAGTGTTAGCCGCGCTTACTCGTGTGGAAGTGGTAACGTTGCCTTCCCCACTTCAGGCGTTGGCCAAGGCTAGTGACCCATTCATCGTCCCACAAACATATTCAGACCCACTAATGCTCTGTTCGAGAGATGTGTCTGACTCCCTAGAAGAGTAACAAACTGAGTGGTCGGGGAAGGACCCCAGAGACTCTTGGGCGATGATTAGTAAAGGTCCTAGGGGTGAACATTTTGTGGGGTGGCCACAAAGTGGGTGCCTTCGCAGACATAGGCTCTACACGGAACTTCATCAGTCGTGCTTGTGTGGATAGGCTGCGCTTAGGGGACCAAGTGCAGCGGCTTAGCGGATCTGTAGCATCTACGCTAGCCAACAAGCACCACATGGTTGTCCAGGACTATGTCAAGAACGTAGTCTGCACCTTCTCCTATGTTGGAGGGGAAGTGAGACATCTAAGCTCATTCCTTTTTAGCGACGAACTGCCATTTGACATACTGTTAGGTATGTACTACCTCGAAAAGCAAGCAGTCTAGTGGAAAACTACGGCTGCATGTGTGCCTCCTGTTTCTATAACTATTATAAGCAGAATCACGAGGAGGGCATGTATCTAGTCTTTGTCTCTGAAAAAGGGGAGGCCGTAAAATCACCCCCAGAGATAGAATCAGTCGTCGCTCAGTATTTCGACCTTTTTTAGGAGCCCACAAGTGTGGTGGAAAGGGAGGTAGTCGATGCAATAGAGGTTGTCCCAGGTAGTAAGGTGCCTAGAGGACGAATCTATAGGATGTCTCCTGCGGAGTTGGATGAGCTCCGCCGCCAACTTAAGGAGCTCACGGAGAAGGGATGGATTCGGCCCAGTACCTCCCCTTACGGTGCGCTAGTCTTATTTGTTCCTAAGAAGGGAGGTACACTAAGGATGTGCAATGACTATAGGGGCCTCAATGCCATCACCATAAAGAACGTGGAGCCCCTACCCTGCATCGACGACCTACTGGATAGAGTGTAGGGATGTCGGTACTTCACAAAGATAGATCTGAAGTCCGGATACCATCAAATTGCAATTAGACCTGAGGACCAGCACAAAACCGCCTTTCAGACCAGGTACGGCCTGTGGTGATGCCCTTTGGTCTATGCAATGCCCCTAGAACATTCCAGCACACAATGAATAGGATTTTTCATGATTACTTAGACAAGTTTATCGTCGTGTACCTCGACGATATACTTATCTTTAGTAAGACTGTAGAGGAGTACGCTGAGCACTTGAAAAGAGTGCTAGGTCTCCTAAGACAGCATCAGTACAAGGTAAACTTGGAGAAATGCGAGTTCGGTCGCACCAAGATCTTGTACTTGGGTCATGAAATCTCCACGGATGGGTTGAGGCCGGACGATGCTAAAGTGGCCAGCATACGAGACTGGCCCAGACCTCAGACTGTTACTGAGGTCCGTTCATTTTTGGGGATGATGGGCTATTACCATCTGTTTGTTGAGAACTATAGTACTATAGTTTCCCCACTAACTGACCTAACTCGACTTGACACCCCTTCGGAGTGGACAAAAGAGTGTGAGGCAGCCTTCAAGAAATTAAATTATACTCTAACACACTTTGAACTCCTCAAACTTCTGGATCCTGAGCAGCCATTTGTAGTAACCACAAACGCCAGCCAATATGGCATAGGCGCGGTCCTTGCGCAAAAGGAGGGGAAAAAGTTAAGGCCGGTCGAGTATATGAGTAAAAAGATGCCATCTCATAAATTGGCTAGATCCACGTATGAGCGTGAGCTCTATGCCTTGTACCGAGCGTTGGTCCATTGGAGACACTATCTCCTTGGCAGATTCTTCTATGTAAGATCTGACCATGAGACCTTGCGTTGGATCAAGACACAACCTGTACTCTCACATGCCTTGAAACGGTGGAATCAACTTCAATCAAGTGATAGATATGTCTGACTATCAACTTGATCCAATCAAGGGAGAGTATAACAAAGTGGTTGATGCACTATCACGTAGGGCAGACTATCTAGGTGCGTTAGTAACTGAGTTTGGCATATCAGAAGAGGTAACTCGATCTTTGGTGGAAGCCTATGAGGAAGATACAATTATGTCTGAGATCATTCGCAAACTGGAGGCTAAGGATAAAGCTACCTCCGATTAGTTTGTGCTGGTCAATGGCTTGCTGTTTCTTGAAAACGTTGGGAATAAAAGACTGTGTGTTCCAGATAGAGAGTCTTTGCGTAGTTTATTTTTAGGGGAATGTCATGATGCAACTGGTCATTTTGGTTACAAAAAGACATCAGCTAACCTAGTGCAGAGATTCTGGTGGCCATCTATGATGCAAGATGCGAAGAAGTACGTGGAAACCTGCCAGGTTTGCCAAAGGGACAAACCTAGGACTCAGGCTCCACTTGGGTTAATCAAGCCCTTGCCGATTCATGAAGGTCCTGGTCAAAGCGTGTCCATGGACTTCATAAATACTCTTGTGACCAGCAGGAGTGGAAAGAGACACATCTTTGTTATAGTTGACCGCTTCTCCGAGTATGCAAGACTAATAGCTATGCCAGAGACTGCTAAAACTGACTACGTCATCAGGTTGTTTATAGATAACTGGGTACGGGACTTTGGTCTACCTAAGTCCATCATCAGCGACAGGGATGTTCCCTTCGCAAGCGAATTGTGGCAAAACACAGCCCAACAGATGGGTACCAGACTGCAAATGACATTAGGTTATCACCCTGAGTCAAACAGACAGGCGGAACAGATGAAGAGAGTAGTGCAGCACCTACTACGGCATTATATCAAGCCAAGTCAGGATGACTGGGACGAGAAATTACCTCTCGTCGCCAGCCTGTACAACAACGCTGTACACAACACCACTGGCATGACACCCAATCAACTGCACCTTGGTTGGAAGCCTAGAACCACCTTAGATTTTCTGCTACCTGAGAGTCAACCATCTGCAGCACCTGGCAGCATAGAGTTTGTTGTCGAGTATGAACAGATGCTGCAACAGGCTGAAGAGCACATTAGAAAAGCTCAAGATGCCATGGTGGCATCTGAGAATAAGCACAGACGACCATCTCAATTTCACGTAGGAGAACGAGTCTGGGTTAAATAATCTGAGTTGGGACAGGAACGGGGAATCTCTAGAAAACTAATGCCACAGTACTTCGGCCCATGGGAGGTCCTAGACATAGTGGGGGATCAGATAGACGGACCTTCCTATGTGATTCGCATCCCACCTCACCTACGCACACACCCAGTTTTTCACGCCTCAAAGCTGGCACCTTTCGCAGAGACTGCACAGTTTCCCTCCAGACGGTCAATGCTGCCCCCAACCATGGATGGTGAAGTCGACATCGACGGAATCGTGGAGGATCGAATGATGTCAATGCCTAAACCGCTGGGCAGAGGCCGCCCTCCCAAGCCAAGAATACAATACCATGTCAGATACAGACATCATCTGGATCCCAACGAAGATCGGTGGTTCACCAGAGAAGAACTCCAGAATACAATACCATGTCGCTATTGCAGGCTATGAAAGAGAACACAAGGGGAAGATGCCTGCAGATTAGAAGACTTCTCAGAGGACTGTCGAAGTAAAGGAGGAGGGAATGCGAGGATCTGGGTCCTCGGCAGGCGTAAGTTGGTTGAGGGAAAACACAGGCCGAGCAGCAAATCCATTCCAAGGCCTTCCAGGCCTTTCCGAAAATGCAGGCCCTGGGCAAGAATCGCAGCCTCATACCCAGACGGTTGGAGAGGCCCAACCAAACGAGGTCCAGCAGCTGCAACAGAGGCACAGCCTCCTGGGGCCTACCGGAAGCTTCTGGGCAGAGGCCCAGGCCAGCCAGGCCTCCGAGGGAGGCAGGCTCTTTCCATGTAGGAAAGAGCTCGCTGCCGGGGCACTCATTCACACACTCGCGAAGTGATGTGGCAGCGCTGCCGGAGCGATTGCTCGCGGGCTGCTGAGCGCTAAGTGCAAGGTGCTGCGCGCGTGCGGTCGTGCGGGAATCAGGGCGCTGCTGAGGGCAGCGCCATAGCCCAGCCTCCGTAGCTGGATGGGCTTGGACTACAGTGAGGCGCAGGGGTGGTCTTCGGGTGTACAGAGAGAAGACGTGGGTGTAAGTCAGGGGAGAGAGAAGGATGATGATGATGATGATGTGAGGGCACACTTCTGGTATTGGCGATGATGGTCTGCATCGGGAGACATCTTCAAGTACTTCGTTGGCCGCTGACGTCAACAGTTGCATTGTCAATTAGTAGGCAGACAGTAGCTGTGTAGGAAGTAGGCTGGGCACCAAGCGCCAAGTAGGGAGAAGGGACTGGACTCTTATGTTGGTGGTGGCGAGAGCTCTCATTGGCATTGGTTTTCAGTGTTACGAATCTCCATTGGTGTTATATTGGTGCAATGCTGCTTTCTGGACACTGAGATACTATCTGGCTTTCAATGTGACTGTGCATTCTGGATATTGGCATCTCGCTGCATTTTCCTTGCAATATCGTTAGGGGCTACCCACAAAAATAAAAATAAAAAAAATTGATGAGCTTCAGTGGCAATATGTAGATAACAACAGGTGCAGGGGTCCAATTCCGCGAGAATTATGTCATAGACAGGGCTGGGCCGGCAACCGGCCGGTTGACCTACCCCGGTCCACCCGGATCCGGATGGGGGGGAGGGGGGGGATGAACCGGAAAACCGGATTAGCCAAAAAAAATGCCCTTTTTTTTTTTTCTTTTTTTTTTTTTGATTAGGGGATCCGAC